TTTTAAATTGTTTTTTTCTCAATAGTTTATAAAGAAAGTTGATCCAATTAGGTGGCTTTTCTAGAAGCTGTTCTACAAGAATTAGAAGTAAGGGCCCGCGAAATGAGCCATAAGTTACTATTTACTTTCAAAATCTTATGTACAATCTCAATTTGTTAAGTAACTCAAAACAGTCTTAAGCTTCTCTCAGCATTTCTTGTATGCATATCTACTCGCTCATTTTTGGACTCATTTTTATTNGTTGAAATTTAAAGTGTAAGTTATTGGGTCAATATTTATTAATGGAAAAAAATAAAAAATTTCAAAATTTTGCAAGGGCGAGTCAAAATTTTTGTAAGGACGAAACTGAAAAATATATTACAAATTAATTAGGAACAGTGGACCAATTTGTCAACAGGTAAATTCTTTTAATCTTTAGATAATTTTTTAAATTGTTTTTTTCTCAATAGCTCATTTTTGGACTCATTTTTATTAGGGAAAGAAAATGTTAAGTGATATATTTTTTTGAGCAAAATTTGACAAAGAACTTTTTCACGAGAATATCTACCCTATATTCCTATGCCCTCAAGGCCTGCTCCAAAGTAGAAAAAAAATAAAAAATAAAAAGAGAGAGAAGTAAAAAGTTCAATCCCCCTTATTAGATCATAAGTTAATTAGTCATGTTGGCAGAAGCGGGAGTATTGAATAACACAATCCGTAGATTCATGCATGAACACCGATTTGGATCGCAATATGAAGAAACTCTTCTGTTTTTATTCAATATATCCAACAACCAAGTAACAGCATATGTCTTAGGAGTATTAAATTATCAAGAATATCTAGGAAACAAACTCTACGATGACGCAAGACAATACCACCCTTGTTATAAACTAATCAGAGTTGAACGTGCGTTACACGTTATTCTGAAATATTTTATAAGTATTGTGAAAGTAATATTTGATCATCCATTTACCCTTTTGATCAAAAATATGATAGGTGCAAACCCCTGAAAATATTAATTATTATACATGTACATAAATAGTGAAATGCGTACTTGAAAGTGAGTATTAGAATTACAACTAAAATATATAAATGCAGATGAATGACACATACGATACATGAATTGCCGTGAATGTTAATTAATTTAGAATTAATACCAGGGAATATATAAATGTTAATTAATTTAGAATTAATACTAATGAATATATACGTGACAATGAATGTTAAAGCATATATATTAAATGAATATAATTTTATTTTCAATTAAGTGAAATTTGATGCTAATTAAAATATATGAATGTAAACAATGAAATGTATTCTTGAATGTGAAATTCTAATTAATATTAATTAGACGAATGTGAATGTTAATTAATTAAAAATTAATAGCAGAGATATGGACATGTTAATGTGAAATTCTAATTAATATTAATTAAATAAATGTGAATGTTAAATGATTAGGAAATAATAACATGTAATACATGTATGAACAAGAATTTTGTTGTATTTATTACAGTTTGAAAATTAAATATATATTGAAAAACGAAAAGTATGTATTATTGAAATAATTGAATTGTATTAGACCTATAACCGTCCAAAAATAATTCTCATGATGTGATATTTAATATATTATAGATAAATAATGAAAACAATTAAAATAAGATATAAAATAGAAAGCAACTAAACCTAAGCAATCAGGGAGCCTTCTTTTTCGCTGATGGTGGTGATTTCATCTTTCTGTCTGTGTCTTTGTTGCTGTGTTGTGGCAGCACCACCTCTCTCGTCACTGTCTGCTATCTGTATTGCATTCATTTTTCAGATTATGAAGTGATGCAGAACAAATGGTTGAATGGATTGAAAAGG